TTAACATTGGTGGCGAAAGGACTTCCTTAAGGGCCGATTCCATCGTTGTGTTAAACGGAGATTAAAATGACATCGTTAATGTAATTTTAAACTTCATTTAACACAACGGTGGAATCGGTCCTAAGGTTATTCCCAATAATAGGTTATTTTAAAACTTCAAGCTAGTAATATTCTCTAAATTAATATACCAATTCAAAAAATTGCTTTTTACTTGTCTCACCCTATATTTTAACACTTATCCGTTAAAATGCGTAATTTTTTATATTAGATACTAATTTTGTGTTTACTAACAAAGTGTTAAGCTATAATAGTAGTTTGTGCAACAAGAAAGAGTGGCGTTATGATGGCCATGGTCAGGACCGACAAGAGGGGGGTAGTCGGGACAAATTCCCGAGGCCCGGCAGCTCTAGAGGCGACGATGTTTTTTTTTTAGTAATTCACCACAAGAGCAACAGATAGAAGCCCTTTTTGTTTAGGAATCTGATATTGAAAGAGCTTAATTTTTTTTATAAAATTGTCGTAGGGCCCGACCTGGATAATTGTCCCGGGGCCCGACCTGTCTCTTGGCGGCCCTGGCCGCGGTACCCACGAAAACATCTAATACGAACAATCCAGGCGAGTTGTACAGGATAGTAGTGTATCCTTGGCCCACTAACGAAAATCTACAAATTTAAAAATAATAGCAAATGGTAACCAAAATATTAATGTGATTTGTGGATTTCATATCCAATATCCATGCAGTTTTCTTACTAAACAGAATGAATATGATTATATTCGTTCAGTTGAACGCAATGACCTTCTTCGATTTGCAGTTAATGCGTAGAATAGCTAAAATCCATGTGGGTGTAGAATGTATATTATGAACTTGCTATTACCAGTTTTTGAGATGAGATACAACTTGATATTGACAGTCATGAATAATTAAATAAACTTGTTTCAGAGGGTTTCTTTTGTAGACCTCTTATAGAATAGTAGTTTGTGACACAAGATTGGATATGAAAAATCTATAAATTTGAAAAATTGTTTTAGGTTATTAAGACAAAATAACTAATTTTAAATTAATTTATGACTTTTATTAATTTATAAAATAAATTTGAAAAAGTTTTATTCCCTAGCACAGATTTGAACCCGGGCTTCTCGCATGGAAGCTAAATGCACTGTTCTCACATGCATTATTAAACGACATGGATAGAACAAAAACAAATATTTGAGAACTATTCATTAGTATAAAAACTGCAAACACGGCGAGAGCAGAAAAAGGAAATATACATATTAACAAAAAAAAACAGTATTGGTCGATATTGTAGAAAAATAAGGGCATGTAGAAGATTTGCTTACTTACAATAAATACTGGGGCTGGGATGTTTACATAAGTTTTAAATAACAGAACAACAGAGCTATGACCAAATAAATTAAATGTGTTTTGTAAACTATTTACCACTCGCAATATCCATCGACACGCCATTTTAGTTTTAATAATCGAAATTAATTTCATATAGTTTGATTAAAATGTATTATTTGTAAATATGGACGAAATGGAAATATTTATCGATTCTACACAAGAATAACTAATTTTTACGTACATTTAATCTGAATAACTAAAAAATATACTGACAGTTAATTTGACAGAATTCACTCATAAAAAGTGAGCAAAATATGAACTGTGATTGGTGGATTTTATTTTTTGCTGTATTTATACTGGGTAGAATATGAATATGGGTAGGATATGAAATATAGTTGTTTAACGCTGTAACCTGACAAACCGGGTCCTAACTTAGTTTTACAAATACTTATAACCTTGGCCTAAATTTCGTCTAGTAGATCCCCACGAAGTGATTTTTGTAGGACCCCAAAATTTCGCTTAGAGTTCAATGTAGCTGTAATGGAGGAACAAAAAAACAAACACAAAAATAGATTAGGAATAGTTTTATTTAAACTTATTTCTTATAGCGGGAAGTTGACAATAATGTTTGTCTATTTTAACATAACACATGTGTGGCCTTTTCCATGTCTCACTTCTAACCGAAGGAATATTAAGCTCCCATAAACCGGTGAAAGTATGATGACAGTACTACAGCATATTTGTTATCCCTTTATAATACACAATCATACACACTACTAATATAATCCCTGCATACGTATTGTCTGATATAGTGAAGTTCAGCGGTATCACGAAGAGTATGGCGCGATATGAATATGGATATAATTAAGTAAATAAGAAGTTTAACCTCATCTTGCGTAACACCTTTCCACTGATATCTCAATACCGTATTTTACGATTGTGCTCAGTACTGCATATATAACAATAACCTGTACGACAACAGAACACCTGATATAAAGGGGGATGCCCGTTAGGCCCACTTTTGGGGTATCTTTTCTTAAGATCCATCCTAGCCTCTATCAGGCTTTTATTTCCACAGACGTGAGAAAATGTACCATTTTTAGGCCCTACTATTGAGGTTCTGCACGTACTATGGGTGGCTGAAGGCTCTTTTTCGGCGCAAGGCTCTTTTGCTCTAATTACCGACAAATCAATGCTATAAATGACAGCTCCGAAACCACAAGCTGTAGTCCCACCTCAATCTCACCCCATTTTTTCTAAAAGGATAACAATTATACCGGAGTTCTATAATATATGGGATAAAGTGCTGTCCAGATGAGCCTAATATGTCCGTTTACCCCAAACATAATACCAAAAATTATATTGTTACCCGCCTCTGTACATATTCAATCTTAAAAAGAACCCAAAAAAAGTAAATTATCAACGTTTAGAAGTAAAACATGACTTTACCTACTTTTGCATCATACAAAATGAAAGAAAATATTATTACCGTACTTTACTTAACAATAGGACTCGACAAATAAATGTAATACAATTCAAACATCTGTCTACCATCTAAATGAACGCAAAAGACGACAATTTATAGCCACGAAAGCAGGTTATTGGTTTCCCAAACCCTAAAATAATAAAGGGCTTTGACACTTGATTCTTATGATCATAAACCAGAAGGGCTTAGTTTATTAGTTGTTGTGGCTGGATTTAAAATAATTGATTTTTATGACCGTAATTCTAATTATTAATTATTGTCCTATGAAATGAAATTCCCTGACAATGAAATGAAAAAAAACTACCCACATAACTTAACAATTATTATTTACTAAATTTTACCACAAATAAGAATTGTTCCCTTTTTAAACACAATTAATTACAAAATGATACCTGTAACAAAACCACGCTGCAATAACGGCTCTCCCCCGGCGGTATACATGACTACTAAACAAAGGACACTTGGTAGGAATGTGCGTCGAAAACGCTGATCTCGAAATATGTTCTAAAACGGCGTTTCCGCGATTAAAACCGATAATCGTAACGTCTAAAAGAAGATACAATTATCGCTAAAATCTACGTACGGGGATCCACACAACAAAGAAAAAGATATCGTCGACAAAAGTAGAACGCAATCGCAATACTTTTAGTCGTTTTCCACAAGATTTATACGATTGGATCAGAGGTACCAAAAAAACTCGCTATTTCTTTATCCGGCGTCGTCACCATAGGCAACGGTTCACCAAGACAAGTCACGCAAAGAATCCAATAACTCGGAAATACAATCCTACAAAACCCTTAGAAGGGAGAGAAATTAAGCTCTTTTAAAACGTCCGTCTGTTTGGTCACCTGCTAGGTAACACATAACTACCTCTCGATATACAAATGTATAACGAAAGAAGTCACCTTAAAGGTAACGGTGTATAGCGCAACAGAAGTCGTTTCATACAGAAAATAATTTATCTGCTCCCTCGATATCTTTTACTGCGTTTTCCAAATATAACAAAAAAAGCTGTCACCTTATAGTTAAACGGGATAAACCAATCAATATACTTGAAGAGTATATAGAAGGGAGTCACCTTATAGATAACTGAATCTTACACTTTTTTTGTCAACTGGACGTGAGAAAGGCAGGAAGAATTCTAACCCCGTTCTTACTTTCCGGCTCCGTATTTATACTTTAATTTTCCCATTTAGTCAATGCATAAGGCAGAGAAAGGTTGAGTAGCGGGCCTACTCAACTTTCACGTAACATAATACTCCGAAAAACAGCCCGAACAATATACGGCTCCCGGACCGCCCTCTGAGTTAGAATTTGCCCTCTAACAATTTACACTCGATGAACAAAAGACGTGCCAAATAGAAAGTGATTTATATATCCTCGAACAACGCAACAAACTATTTAAAGAAAAGAATAAAAAAATATCAGACCCAGGGGCGTCGCGTTTCAACGCAATGGCATACTTTTTCGTTTTGTAGTCTGTGTGTATATAAGTTAATATCTAAGTGGGTGTAGAAAAAAAAATCATCTACAATACTTCTAAATGAAAAGCTAACCCAATGAAATAAACTAGGCAAATTCTAAAAAACTAAACTGGAACTTTTCCTTATTTTAGCATTATATAATAAACACTCTTGTATTTTTTAAGTGGGCATGCTTTGAGTTGCAAAGGCGGCTCCAGGCCTAATATAAAGTTCAAAACTCAAATTGAACGTGTGAAATCGTCAATTATATGGTAGTGGTACTTACATGATTTTTATTATTCTAGAACCTTTTAAGAGTTCGTACATTTTAAAAACCTATAAAATCAAAGAGAATTTTTTTACAATTTAATTTAATGCAATTCGTGTTGACATTTATTTTTTCACGGCAAAATCAAAACGAAAATCTAAACAAAACTTTCTTAATCTTTTTTTTTAAATAAAAGGTTCATGAATTGTAATCTCGAGGAGGGTTTCATGGTCCCTGTGGAATTAAGCTAAAACTTTGTTAGTGTAGGTAGGTTCGACCGCGTTGTAACGTTGGCAGGGCCATATGAACTGGCATCCCTGATAATATTCATTTCCTGCTTGTCTAATGCTAACTCTGTAGTTTTCACACGCAATTGTGCAAAACGTATTGGAAAGCGTTCGATAGTACTGTATACACACCAAAACAATAAAAAAAAAACAATTCATTCAACAATTTTATTTAGTTCTTTAATATGTACACAACAAACATCTAAGAAAAAATAAATATAAGAACCACAATCTATAGTTATTGCTAGAGAAGTAAATATATAAAAATCACTACATAATTTTCTTATTATTTAAATGATCACATCAGAATTCTCAATAATCTCATGAGCAATTATTAAAAAAATTAGTATAAAATTTTTATCTAAGATCTACATTATAATAATTATTGTGCGGATTGGCTTACCACTCTGAAACTAGGTATTTTTCATACAATAATGTTAACTAATTAAATTTTTCCTTATTTATTCGGATTCTGAATGGCCACTTTGACCTCGATATTTTTTTGACAATTATTTTCTGGTGTAAATTGAAAGTCCAACATATTTCTCTTGTCAACTATAACATGTCACCAATATATGTAAAATAAAAAATATATATCTGAAAAACTCCTCTTACTTTCTCTCGAATGTCAGATCTATATGAGAAGTAAATATTGAGCTGTTAATAAAAATAATTGTAATTCAAAAGTCAATAAAAAGGTATTGCTAGACTAGACAGGGCAATAAAATAGTATAAAATCTCTTAATGTTTTTGAATTGTTCATCAATGTTAATTCTTTTTTGAAAACATTTCATTACAATATTGTTAAGAAAACATTTAGTCGGGATGGTTCGTATTTATTATGACATTTAAATGTATCCTTTAAATAGTATAAAAAACTTGTTGGGAACTTCAAAGGGACAGTAAAAATCTTATTGGCTTTTCTTATTTAAGAACTAAAGTATTCATTTACGTTTAAATTTAAAGCTTGCAAATGGACCCTCTTCTAATTTTAGATTGTTTCAAGGTATTATAAATTGAAATTTTTATAAAACTTAAAGACGATTAATTTTTATTGCATACTGTCAGTAACTAAAGAATTAAAGCAATGACATTTAATTTAGTGACAAGTGACGGATGACGCCTGCCTATAAAAAGACAACACTTTCATTTATTACAACAAAATTAAATTTAGATTGAGAATTATTTCAATAAATATGAATTCTGAACAACGATACCTAAAAATGACAATAATTAAAAACTTAAAAAGTATGCAATCCATTTGTTATCATATTTTCGATTTTGGCATAAATTTCAAACTGAAGCCATTCCTAAATTTTCAACAATTGACGTGTTTCAGTTCAAAAATTATTTTTCATTCATATGTTTTACCAAATCTAAAAATAATATGAAAGACTATTAAAAACACTTAAAATAATGGAAAATAGAATAACCAGCATTTAAGATGTATCATTATTTATCTGTTCTATTAAATAAATTAGCGTAGTTGTATTACAATTGGCGAATAATGGCTTACAAAAAGTTTCCTGATCTATTGTCAAAATGACAGTAAAACCTAATATTGTAAAAAATGGCCAATATGGCATTTATTTGATGCAATGAAACAGAATAAATTATTGACCTGAAGTCGTGGCTGAAATTATACTAAGGTACAACCTACTTTGAGGTCTGTATTGCAACTTTCATTAAGGCTAGATCTTCCGCTTTTGAAAGTTTCTCATCGCTGTCATCATCTGAAAAGTCTTCATCATGGTTATGTGTGACTGACTGCGGCGTTTCTGGACGTAAATGAGGTAATTGACTTTGTGCTCGTTCTAGAGGCTAAAAATGAAAATTATGCCGGTAATAAAAACTAGCTTTTGTTATGTTTATGCTTATGTGGAAGGCAAAAAGGTTAAAGTTACATGTATAGTTTAATGCATAAAAAAACATACAAATCATGTAAAATAGTTTGGCCCAGCGTTAATTATCTGATGACACTTTGGCCCACAATCCGTTAAAATTTCTTTTTAATTACTATTTAGATTACTCAGAACTAAATATAACAAAAAACGTGTAGCTTAGGAGTGAAATTTGCATAAACGTTAATTCCAAACAGTTACTTGATATTAAGACTTCTTCAGGGACATAATTTGGTAGGTCTTTGCTATAAATATAAATCCCAATTTCTAAATAAGCAGCATAATAATTATGCCAAATCATGTCTTGAAAAATAGCGATACCAACTTAATCAGTTTAATTTAGTTGTCATCAGACATATAATATTTGTTCATGTGCACGAGTTAATGATTGGTGAGCTTTTTGTTTGAGAGGACGCACGATTGTGTTTTGGAATGTTGTCTGCAAATCTATGGACAGTATTAGAAGTAGCAATAATAGAAATAGTGTTGGAGCTAGAGCTAAGCCTTGAGGTACTTCAGCATTGATTTTGTAGAAGGCAGCAAGAGATATTTAACAGTTTGATCGAGAGCTTTCAACAAATTTACAAGGGCCATGTTACGGTTTTTGTCATGGACGTGGATATCTGGATGGAGTTCCAAGTGTGGGTGATAAAAGCAAGAAAGCAAGTGGTTGGTGAAAACCATATTATCTCCAATATCTTTCTTATCTTTACTTGGATTTTGTGATCAAATTTAGGAAGGTGTTTATTTTTTTTTAGTCAAAAATCTTTAAAACATATAATGTTGGACAAGCATCCTTGTTTCGGACAATACTTACTTTCTTTTCCTTTTTGGGTTCTGGTACCTCGGTAGGGCAACCGTCGTGCTCTTTGTTGCCAAAGTCCATAACAAAGTGTTGTTCGTGTGCTACAGTTGATTCATGAGGTAATAACATTGCCGGTGCTCTGAACATGTACGAAAACGGATAATAAAGAAGATTCAAATGCGTAGCGGCGTAGAGATCAGCGTACCTCACTACCTGGAAATTACCAAAAGAACAAATGTAGTTAATTACTATATTGAATAGAATCTATTATAATAAATCAAACAATGACAATTCTCTTTTATTTCAACACACGCCAATCAAAACAAACTGTATCTGAAAGTGCAGTGTTTTCAATCAATCCCGATCGGATTTAAAAAATTCAATTCATTATTAGAGAAATTTCTGAAATTTATATTTTTTTGGTTGCGTATATATTTTTTATTTTTAGTATGATTACTGTATTCAAAATGAAAATCGATTAAAACTCTGCTTGGATTTGATTCCAAAAATTTAAAACCATAATCAAAAGTAAACTATTCAGTTTATACTATATTATGACATCTTACCTGTGAGGAAAAGAATGTTTGCCTGGAACCAGATCTAAATAAACTACCCATCATTCCATAAGACATATCCATTTTGTGGGTAACATCTCTTATGGCAGCCCTAACTTTCGAAATATCTGGTTTTACCTTTGTACTACTGTCCAAATGTCTAAAATAAAAAGTCTATAATAGTCAGACATCTTTAAAATTCTTTTAAAACATAAAGACAAAATTAGAAACAATCACTCATTTATAGTACCTAGAAAAACAAGGTACGAACCTTTGATGATAATACCAATAAATTGCAACTTACTTGTACATATCTCCTAATTTTATATCTAATCCCTGCAGTTCGTCAAATAATTGACATTTGTCAGTCCATACATGCAATTCCCTCACTAATTCAGGTACAATTAAAAAAGTTCTCCACCCTCGAATTTTTTTACTCTTTAAAATGTCTCCAAATATGTGATCACCAACGTAAAGAACATCTTTTCCCTAAAAAAGAGTTTATAATAGTTTAATATGATCAATCAGGGTTGTCAAATCTGCAGTACTATCTGTTGTTTCACCCTTTTTTTAAATTGAATTTAATAATTTTTATATGCACCTGAGATTTCATTTTTAAAGTAGAAAAATTATTTTGGGATTGTGGATGGTTTGAAAAGCTTTCGAAGCAAGAAATGTTAATACATTTTTTGGTTCGTATTTAATCAGCCCATGACATAAAAACAAACTTCATTAGATTTGTGACATTAATAGACTCTTTCATAATTTAAATACCTTGTGGCTATTAGATGAATAACTTTTTCTTGCTGAATTTTGGATATCATTTGTGAAACATAATATATCTATTTTGAATTTTACCGACTTACTTTGGCGCCGATGAATTTCGTGAAAACGTCACAGGATCCTCCAGAATAAACGTGATCGGATTGTAATGGACCGGTGTGAACACCTACACGCAAACCACCAGTTGTAGTGTCGACTTGACGCAAAATAGTACCTTCTCCAAAGAAAAGAGGCTTGCGGGCATCACACACTACAATATCGAAATAAGTTATCCAGTTCCTATGTGGATCTTCTGGCTAAAAATAAAGAAACATTTTTCTTAATTATTTAGACAAGGCAGTGACCATGGGGATAATAACGTTTATTTATTTAATTTATTTACATTAAGACCCTAACAATACAATAATGATTATGAACATTTACTTATAGACTAATTTATAACGACAAGATTTTTGTGTACCGAACGATCTCCCAACTTTAAAGAGGAAGTCTCTCGAAGATTCTAGACACCTTCACCATATCTACGCTGGACTAAACTAAGTGCTTTCGCCAAAAATTGCAATTTCGAGATGCCTCGACAAAGGTCTCAGTGCATTCCAGAATAATTCATGGCAGAGGTTTACTCACTTCATCGAATACTCTTGGTAACGGGCCGTAAAAGGCCCCAATAAAGCAGAGAGGGACTAAGGGATTATAGCATGACCGGACTTGTCAAAAACGTCAATATTCACAAAACCTCAAAAGAATTTTTGCCTTGTTCATAAAAGAAATGTTAATAAACGTGTCTATTACTTTTAAGCTCAAAATAATTGTAGCAAATAAAGAAAATATTAAAAAGTGGAATGAATATATGTATTGAAAATATGAGAAGAGGTTTTGAGTATTTTTTAAAGGTTTTTGAAGGAAACTATTTTTTCCTGAACTAAAAAAATGTATTTAGAGAGTGGCAAATTATAATTTTCCATTATTGTGATACATATTATAAAGTCTCCTACTATTATTGAACAAATAATTTATTTGTAGGTAATGTTACTGATGAAATTAAATCTAGTGACATAAAACGCACTGGATTTTCATTTTAATGATAACATTTGTAAAAAAATGTTTTATTAAGGAGAAGGAAAATAAATTTAATTTAAAAAATTTAGACATTAATATTTTTATTATCAATCATTATTTTTAGATATTTTATTACAAAATAAAAAGATCTGAAAAATACTATAATTTCCCAAGATAAAAACTTATCATAAAATATCGATGAAGTTAAAAATAAAAGGCTCTGCTCATATGTCCTTCATTTTTCTTTCTATTGATCAATCTCAAATATGAAAAAGTGTGATAAGTAAATATTTAGTTTTAGGATAATCTAACAAGGTAATTTCGGTGAAATGCATGTTTCAAAGTGATTTTTTAAGTGAATTCAGTGCTTGCACGATAAATACATACATATCAATAGAATTTATAATTTATTAAAAAACAGAAGTCATCTTACCCGGGCACCATGTGGAAAATCGAATAAATAGGACATAACTTTATCAGTATATGTATAATCGCTATTTGTTAATAAGAATGTTTTAGCACCGCATTCTTTTAATCTAGTCAGAAACATTGGAAGACGTTCATCCTTTTTCACATATTTTTCTAAATTTTCGATTGTCCTATTCTTAAGGTCACCTTGCAAATGAACATAGTCTACAGCGTTTCTCACATCCTAAAAAAAAAAATCAAAAATATTATTGACGAAACATATTTTAAATAAAATTCTTTAAAACGTAAAGTAGATGAAATAGTTATTAAAGTCATAAATTGCATCCTACTTATAGTAGCTTAATTTTTAATTTATCCCACACCATTAAAACAAATGTAAGTATAATGAATTTTATTTTTACTCTTTACAAACTGCATAAAGACGTCTCAACATCATGACACAATCTATAAAGGTTAAATAAACTGCCTTCTTTTTTAAATATCGTAAACATTTGCAACGTATTGTATTAAAAGTTAATATAAGGGTTTTTTGGTATGAAAAAGCCTATTTTTATGTTATTTGTTTCAAACAGTTTAATTATTCTAATTTATATTCACTAAATACGTCAACTTATTTTATAACTAATTTATTTGTACTCGAAACTACACTGATTTATATTTACTTTAACAATTTATCTTTATTCGACAACATGTATCTCTAAAACTAACTCAAACGGCAAAATAATCCACTTATTACAAAAATGTAAAGGCCTAGAAAAATCCAGTCCTGTCTCAAAGAATCTCGAAGCTCTAGTAATTTTAGAAACCCTCTATGTGTCGACCCGTGGGTAAATTTCAAGTAACTTCTCAAAGCGGGCAGCGAAAGCAGGACACAGCCGAGCTGTTAAACGGCGTAAACAAAGAGCAGGGTCGGACTGCACGACTCTATTAAGGATTAAAAATGACTACAACTAACTATACTTTATGGCTATTTTAATATAACATCTTATTTCCAATTATTCTTTTCTAAAAAAAAAGGTATTTATCTTTCTATCGTTCGATGCAACTTAATTTTTGAGAGGATTTATTATAATATTTTGAAATTTAGCATCTGCTGCTAAATTGTGGTAACAATTTAATAGATATTTAAGTTAACATATTTTTAACATTATCACTATTTTTAAAAATGTACACTGGCTTTAAAACAATTTATATTCAACGAGCTAAGTAAATAAATTAAAATGTTCTAAAAACAAATTTAAAGAAATTATTCAAAATGTGAACATACATAATTCACACTAACAAATAATTGAACGTATATTATTTAAAAATGCTCTTATTTCATTATAGGCATCCCTAATCCTATTAATAAGTTAATCTCTTGTTTGAACAGCTGTAACTGTATGTTGCGTTGCACAATAAAAAGTTTAGTATCTCTAAATTTGCCAACGTTATATGATTCTGAAAAAGGTACCTTCTTGTTTACATAACAGTACCTACAGAAAATATTTTATATTAAAAAACAAATAAAGTACGATGAAAAAAAAGTTATTAAAAAGAATACAATATAGAAAGCCTTTAGCGGGCATAGTAAAACGGTTTCCAAAATACGCTTTCTCATGCGTTAAAAAATGTTTACGATATTTTAAAATTTAATTTGAAAACTAAGCATTAAACTTTTTGTATTAATTTTAAAAGTTCCTGCTACAACAAAACTGAGTTACCACGTTAGGTATGACTAGTTCTTATTGTCTAATCAGTACACATCTCTCAACTATCCAAGTTGTTGTTTGCTAACATCAACTATGATGTGATCATTTTCAGATGGTTATAAATTTCCATCAAATCTTTAATCTATTACTCACACAGTTCATTTTGCTCTACACATCCATATATTGTGGCAGTACCTTACATTACCAATTTATCTCAACTATTTTTAAAAAATTAATGTCATTAGAATATTGTTTTTTTTTCTTTAAATACTTTGAATAGAGTAATGAACTTTTTTAAGATTTTACTTTCGACATTATCTCCAAAGTCTCAATTCTATTCTTATTTATTTTTCATTACATTTGTGATTTTATTTTCTATTCTGTTCATGTATACCTGAATATATTTTTTAATAATATATAAGTAATTATCTGCTCAGTATGCCTTTAGCTGGTGAAATGTTTTATGAACACTTGTAACTGGCACCATTTGAGTGTTTATATCAGAAGAGCTAAGTGAAAAAGAATTTATTTTATTATTTAACACTCTGAAAACATATCTGTAATTGGCAGATACTAAAAGTAAAATTCTCTCACTCGTAAGTTTTTATGAATGTAATAAAAATGAGCAACAATTTCTTAAAAAGTTATCAACATTCGTGAATTTTTAGTTATCTATGTATCGATGACTTCATTCTAACAAATCGTAACCCACAATTTTTATGAATTCACGTTTTTACGTTTACTCAATAGAAAAAGATTAACACTATCGGTAACTATAAAACCTCTTATCCCAATTAATAGTATATTACATTACGAGTGTGGAAAATCTCTTTTCACACAAGTGATGTACAATGTTTTTCCCACGACCACAAAATAATGTCATCAAAAAAATGTAAAACCAAGGTTATTATTTCTATAATAATTAAAATGTATTTAAAAAAATAATCAACAATAATCGTATTTATTCAATTCTCATATTTTCTAAACAAAAAAAAACTAAAAAAAAACAAAAAAAAAATTCTGCCCCGCCAGGATTTGAACGCGGTCGAAAAATGGCAAAGTTGGTAAGTTCGACGTCCTAACCACCTGAGCTAATAGCCCTTGTGTCAATTGAATGATCTAATCGGTTATGTATTTAACCAGAATAAAGAGCAAACATTATTTTAAAATTATTTTAATAATAATTGTTAAAGATAAATATCTAGGATCTAATTTACAACAATTTCAATAATTTAACAATCATATCGATTTTAGTATTAATATGGACATTACATAGATCAAAATAGAAATTAGGTGTTTGACATTTTGTGACAACTACTGCGGAAAGTAACATATTCTCACTCGGGTGGAAAGTAAATTCTTATTCATACGCGTGTAATATAGGGCACTTTCCATAGGACTATATAGTGTGATATGTGTCACTTTCCTAAGTGGTCGTAGGAAAAATTATTTCTAGTTAATTCCCGCGATTTCTAACAAGTCCTAACCCGCACGATACATGGATCAGGAGAGTTTTTTTGCCTCTACTGTAAAATTTACTCTTGGTGGGCTACGAAGGGTTATAATTAAGCCATTGGTATATTTTTCTTTTGACGATGAAGTATACCTAGTTAAAAACAAATATAAAACTAATTTTTCTCTATATTTAACCGTCTTTACCAAATAGTCTAAGATACGAAGTAAGGTCGACCTGCACCCATCTGCTTACCGGATTAAAGTGTTTTTATCAAATAAAATATGTTTATAAATATACCGCAAATGGGTTGCCTAAGAAAATACTGTCAAGACTATTTATTTTCTTGAAGTAAAAAAAACGACACCCTATTAAGTTATCCCCAGATGCTTAAATTTAAAATTTGATGTTTGTCTCTGTATCCGTTTTGCGGCTCGTGCGAGCAACATTGAGCATGCGCATTGGGTCGTTTCTAGAGAGAGCCGCGTCGATCGGTAAATATTAAACAGGGCTGGTTTTATTTCCAATGTTGAAATTAATTTTTGCTTAAACTTGTTGCTTTTTCAAATTTAATAAATTCATTATTTTGTAGATATTGTTATAAAAAGTTAAATTATATAACATACTACTTAGAATGAGCCAGAATTCTAATTTAGGTGGTGTGAACTCCAAAGTTCTTCTATGGTGAAATTTTGGTCCTATTCTCTTTATGCTTTGTATACAGATAAGGAAAGTAGGTATAGGAATCATGATTTTTTTCGACCTCCAGTTTTCGACGAATTTTTACGTTTTGGGGTCCCCTGAATCCGTTCTGACTATTTTCGGGATGATGTCTGTGTGTGTGTCTGTATCCACCATAACTCATGAACCGATACAAAGAAAAACACCAAATTTTAAACTTAAGCTTTATTCCTGCGTCCAATGAAATGATTAGATTTTGGACAGAGTCGGAACATCTGGGGGAGTACTTTATGGGTGGTCATTTTTATATTTTATGGAATATATCTGTTATTTACGTTTGGAGAAGAAAATTCTTTAAATAAAAGTTACTTACAAAATTATTATCAATATTTTTTGTTCTATACAAAATTTTCCTAAAATGGTCCATAATCGAGAAATTTGACAAAATGTGCAATATTCCGATTTTTAAGAAAATTGTTAACTAAAAGTTGTTTGCGATATCGATCTCTATAATTTTTGTTTATACATGATTTTTCTAAAATGGACCGTAATGGAAAAATTGGAGGAAAAGTGCTAAATTAAAATTTTTCAGTATTTTCGTTTTCAATGAAAATCTATAGAAAAATGTTTCGAGGTAGATGTATGTGGAAAATGTATATATTTAGTTTATCCTCTAAACATTTATAGAGGTGCTGCAATAGGTTGTACAAAATAACCGGAAAAACCTATTATAACTAGATAGGAAAGTCATGTGTTGGACACATCAGATTTTTATCAATGATTTACTAAATGTTCTAGAAGAGTCAACTTGTATACTATTTGCGGATGATCTTAAAATATACAAAGAAGTTATAACAGTTAGGGACTGTGTTGAATTACAAAGGGACATAAATAGAATATTTTGTTATTTTTTCTATCTAGCTACAAATTTAGTTATTTCAGTCGCACCCTGGATATATAATATTTATTTCTAAGTAAATTTGGGAAGCGAACATTTCAATAAGGAATTTCTGATTTTACATTTCTGAAGTTACACAGGTAAACAAACATTTACTTTCCTTATATATGTTGTATACATTCCTAATTAACGAAATCTTTGAACTCTAATTGATACTGTTTCAAATATCTTCAAAATTCGAAATTTGCACTTTTCCTCAAATATCTCGAATACGGTTCATTTTAGGGAAATGTATAGGACCAAAATTATAAAGCATTATATCACAAGCAAATTTTATTATTATTCCTATACTTTCCTTATCTGTATACAGAAAGGTAATTAAAAAGTAACCGTAAGAGTATTTTTTTTTTGGGCAACCCATTTGCGGTTTATTTATTAACGTATTTTATTTAATAAAAAATACCTTTCAACGGGTAAACAGACGGGCGAAGGTCGACCTTACTTCGTATCCTGTACTATAACAGTAAATTAAAATCTGTCTGTCGTTTTTAGACAAGTGCTTTTTCCATCATTTTAAAATAGTAATTTAGCTGATATTTAATTTTTTGCTTTCATTATGAATATAAACAAAATGTGTTATGTTGCAATACAATTATTACCAAATAAAATTGTATGACGATACCAACCACGCAAGTGAATAAAACTAACATCTGTTACTTACTTGGAATATGGACTTGTAGGACATCAAAAGCTCACCACACTTGACTCCTGTATCAGTTATGGTATAGTCTTTGCAATTTGTAAAAAAATCTACTAAACAGGCTAACAAATATGTTTCAGGAAGATTAAAGAGGGTATTTAATACATAAACTCTCGATTCATCTAAGGTTAAAAACTTGTTGGGGTATAATTCGTACACTCGTGAGCTAAAAAAAAAAAAATAAGAATGAGATGTTCTCTTTGTAAAAAACATTGTTTAATTCATGATTTATATCGGGATATAAAAATATAGAAAACTTACTGTTTTAAAAATTCGAAACCATGAACGCATACTAAAATGTTTCCATATGCGTCCACCTTTAGAAGATTTCCATAATGGGAATCAAACCACAGCCCTCTGAAAATGAAAACATTGTTACGAAACATATTTACTTTATTTAATGACCTAAAATTTACAGATATTTAAAAAATAATGTACATACCTGACCGCAAACGTAGGGTCATATTCAAATTGTAAAATTTCTTGGGGATAACCTATAGATACCATGTGTTCTTTCACTAAATCAAAACCTAATTTTTCATATTCGGGAGACTTATATTCTGCAAAAAAATTAAAGAATTAAAACGTCCACTCGATTACATTAGGTTTGTTATGATTAAAAAAAATGGTCGAATTTTTCATTTTGTTTTACGAAAAAAACTTTGTTGCATATAAAACAAAATATTATTGTCTTTGAAATAATTTTTAAAAATCGACTGCCAAAATGAATTGTTTTAAAGATCTCATCAAAACAGATCTTGATCAATGTATATGGGATCACCCTTGAGGTACCCCTTTCTAACAAAAAAAAAAAGAATCATATAAATCGAACAACGTGGTAAAGAATTATCGCTGAATATAAATTTAAAAAAATATTCCGACGAGTTGAGCACCATTTCCTTTTTTAAAGTCGGTTAAAAAATTAAATGATACTGTTTTGTTATTTAACATCAGCAATCACGTGATGTTTCAATTAAGTGTAATTATTAAATGTTTACTTTACCTGCTAACGTATAATCCATATCAAATCCATAGAACTTTATATTTTCGAGATGGAGACTACGGTTTACGAAAATTCTGAAACAAAAATTTAAAGTTTAGTATAAAATTCAGAATTATTAACCTGCATACCTTCCCCAATGGGATTTTACCAAAATTATCATTTTTATATGTAATGAAACGGTAAATTTCGTCCACATTAAAACATTTACTTCTCTACTTCAAATACAAAAAAAGCACAGCTGATTGTCAACCCTAGTCATGCAAGTCAAATTATGAAGTAAGAAAGTGGCGTACACATACTTTTGTTTAATAGTTATAGTTTGAGAGGGTTAAAATATTTCAAATAATGTTTAGAAAAAAATAAATAAAACCAAAGAAATGATTAGGTAATGGTAAGATTGAAGCTTGAGCTTGAAATTTGGTATCCTAAAACATACATTGAATGTAAAACAATAGATTTGATGAAAAATCTATACGTAAAATTAAATTGAAAAATCATGGTGTTAATAATGATTATAGTATTAAACTCACAAACTATCCCACTGCATATCAGACACGTTTAGTAAAACCAATAGTAAAATTTAATAATTTTAAAAAGGCTGTTTAAAAAGAAACACACTATCATTAAAAATTTAAATGAAATAGGACGGAAGATATATATGAGATAAAATATGTGAAGTTTACATTTTTATTATGGTCTAAGATCCGAAGTAAGGTCGACCTTCACCCATCTGTTTAATGGATGAAAGTTTCTTTTTATTAAATATGTTTATAAATATACTTCAAATGGGTTGCTTAAGAAAATACAGTTTAAAATTTGGTGTTTTCTCTTCATCTGTTTTTGAGTTATCTTCAAAATTTGAAATTTGCACTTTTCCTCAAAACTCTCGAATTAGGTCCAGTTTTCGGAAATCATGTATAGGGGCAAAATAATAGAGAATGACACCATAAGCAACTTTTATCATATCTATACTTTCCTTATCTGTACACATAAAGGAAAGTAAAAAATGGTCGTGACCGTATTTTCTTAGGCAAAACATTTGCAGTATATTTAAAAAACATATTTTATTCAATAAAAAAAACTTTTATCCATTAAACAGATGGGTGAAGGTCGACCTTACTTACGGATCTTGGACTATTAGTGTTTAATTTTTTCTTGACCTAACAAAAATTAATATCAGTATGTTTTCTTGATTTAAATTTTCACATTTTTTTTTAGATTAAAGAAATAATAAAAAATACAAATATTGTACGAACTGCCAAGTTCTAGGTTGTAAAAAATGGCTTTCTATACTGACAATATTATCTTTCTTACTTTGACCATAATAAACAAAAGAGGACAAAGTGCTATAATAATTTTAATTTGTGGAACTTGAGTCGCCGGTATTAATGGAGTGACTGGAAGAATTATTGTAAATTACACTATTAATTTAACAATGTGATAATTGTTCATTTCTGCGGCGGAAATTTACTAGAATTTTTAGGAAGGGCCTACACTCAAGAAGAAATTGATTGTGGGAACTTCCTGTTGACTATCTTCATAACTATAAGCACACATAACGGATTGAATCATTGTTCTGCAAACTATGATAAGGGGTTAGTTAAAATTATCAGATTGCTTGAAAAACAATTTACCAATTGAAAAAAGAATCTAATAACATAATTTGACAATTGGGTATAATAATATACATCACAGTCGGTTAAGCCGAATCCATAATAATTATTCAGCAAGTTTTCATTCAAGAGTCTAAATTGCATTAAATATTCACAAAGTATCTAAATTAGTTGATGAAACTGAGTATAAAGTAATAAATAAAAAGTGATCCACATTTTTTTTTAAATGAGCCCATAACCGACAAAGACAGAGATACGAGTCATGATCGTGATAACTACATGCGGCTCTGAATTGAATCCAAACTAGCACTTAAAAAGAAAAAAAATGTACGTTCGTCATAGGTGAATTTTTCCAAGACCTACTTTAGAAGCATTTTTTGTAGAATTGTGGATCACTCCTTACAAATGTATTGTCTAATGGTAATTGTGATTTTTCAGTAGGTATGAATTTAATTTAGTAACTACCTGTTTGCTAATTGTATTTTAATTTCATCTATTTAAAATTTTCATTTTTAAGGTAGATAACTTTTATCAGCTGTTCCTAGGTACCTATCCACCCATATGAAATTGTATTTTTGGATACAAAAATTATGAATAAGTGTATTAAAACAAAACGATTTGTTTTTACTGTTAAAATATGTGTTTTACAATTTTATTATAGGGTGGGTTAGCTAGTAGTCGGCCACTTTAGGATACATTCAAATTGAGTATTAAGTTGCTCAGTTGTTTTCCAACTTAGGATGCTAGTTTTGAGATAGTAAGAAAGCACAACTATTAGCCTATTATGTGTTTACAAAGAAAAAATAATGTAATTAAGAGAATATTTGTTGATTGTTAATTTTTATAATAAAAAGGTTGCGGGCGGAGATGAGCCGGGCGGAGATGAGCCGACACCCTTTAATCCGGTCCTGAAGTGTTGACCGATTAACCCATATATCTCTTATTTTAGCGCCATTTTTAATCTTTTCTATAGCCCTTTTCAAGCTTTTCTCCAAGTACATGTGGATTTTTTCTTTGGATGTTCAGCCATGGTCTAGAATAGCAAAAAAGAAATTTTAGACCAAAATATGCAAAAAATAGACAAAAAATTTCTATTACTTCTTAAAACGCTTGTAATTCTTTTGTAATTCACTTTAACTCGGCCGATTACTAGTACAATATATCGTTTGATATTACTCTAAATGGTGCCATGCAAGGAAAATATATTCCGACTTCTGTAAAAGCAAAAAAGATAGAAACATAAAAAGGTCCTTGTTCTAGTAGTCGGCCATTATGGCCGTCATTTTAAAGTTTAAACTTACCTTAAAAGACAAAACAACTTATAAACATTTATAATTAAACTAAACATACTTGTTTCATTTATGCACTAGTATCATTCACTGTAGGTACTAAATAACTGCTAAATGGCCTCTACTTGCAAGTAGATAGATTTTAGGCGGGAATTCTAATACTAAAACTTGACACAAGAGGGAGAATGCTTTTTAGGTAAACGCACGATGAATGACAATTATTACAGGTGTTTCAAATAGAAGGTAAGGTATCCGTTTGACCATTATAAGAACTAGATGAAGCATGTTTTAACATCAACATGTATCCAACTTTAAGATCTGACCATTATATGATTGATCAATCATTTGACAGGTTATTATACTAATGTTCACGGAGCATGACAGTTATTGTAGGTATATATAAAAACAAAAAGTATGTATCTAAAATAAGCAAAGTTCTAAAAAAATCCGACAAAGCTTCTTGACCATTAAAGATATAGACGAAGACTATTGTTGTTTCAATTTATTAATCTGAGCTTGTGCGTGAAAGCATTTCAAAAGATGGGACCACAATTATTTGGCGTGGGGTCTCTAGAGGCACAGTTTAAAGAATATAATCAAAACATCTCGAGGATAGGTGCTTATCCTACTCTATCTTAAGCGTATATCAGTATATACGCTTGACTTTGAAGAGAAGTGATCATTTGAAGATTATATTTAAACGATTGATCATCTAAAAAAGTAATTTCTTCTATTGAAATGATAGATACCTCAATTCGAGAATCGACTACCAAAGACCGTTAGTTAAATGATGATATCCTTCCTCCATGGATGTCCCCTTCAAGCATATATTGTTTTGTGTTTTAAATCAAGATTTGGATATTTAGCTCATGGGTCAATCATTTGACAGATTAATAAATGTTTCATCAATGATTTCATCTACCTGATTAATTGTCGAAGAGAGGATCAGCTGGCCGAAGATGGTATTTAAAAATATACAAATAATTGATTATTATTTTAATTGATTAACTAATTTTTATTTTAATTAATTAACTAATTATTATTTTAAGTAATTAACTAATTATTTTAATTAAAGGTACCGTTTCGGAACGCGCGACATACGACAGCAGAAGAGACGGCAAAGGAGATCAAAAACGATCTCTTCACGTCTAAACACATGTAATTATATGAAACACATTTCGCAAGACGCGACGAGTGCGAGATACAAAAGTAAGCGACCTGTCGCGCGGAAGTTAGTCAGTACTTGTACTTCGAGGTGATTAGTTGATATTTTATAGAAATGGTAGATGCAAAGTTCTTTCGATCTATCATAGGTAGTGTTGCCAAATGCTGGAACAGTAGTTGGGTGAAAAAGAAAAAACAGTAGATCTGAACAGTAGATTTTAATACAGGGGGAAATAATTAAATTTGCAGTGTAGTAAATAAAAAAAAAACAAGTATATAAGAATCGAAAAATAAACATTTTTCTACCCAAATTAGAAAGTAAACAAAGAATAGAAACAAATAATAAAATTTTTAATATATTCTTAACGCCCGGAAACAAAAAAAAACAATAAAAAATAATAGGTTTTTCTTACAGATCAGTCTGAATCAGATAATTCAAATACGTTGTGTTTGGCATGCATGTAATTTTTATGATGCCCTATTAATTCTTTGTTGCATTTTAAATAAAATCATAATGATTATGTTGAGGTTCTTTTATGGAGCAAACCTACAATAGTGGCTGCCTATTACGCTGCTTTTACTTCAGCAAATTTACTAGAGACAATATTCTTTGACCATTTGCTAAAGAATGAGGCAAACTTAATAAATTAAGAACAAAATTTGGCGAAAACAGTAGATATCATGCCTAAAACAGGAGAACAGAGACAAAAACAGTGGATCTACTTTAAAACAGTAGGTCTGGCAACACTGATCGTTACTATCAAGTGGTTGCCGGTCTCCCTGCGTCGGCTTCCCAAATTTGTGAAGCGTAACGTAAATGCATCTGCCTCCTTCGCCGTCGCTTCTGCTGTCGTCTGTCGTATGTCACGCGTTTCGAAATGGTACCTTTACTAATTATTATTTTACTTGTTACAATAAATTGTGAAATAAAAAGACATCATGGGGAGAAATTGTGGTGGAAAATATATATTTTAATATATTTACGAACAAATATAATTGTATTTTATT